AAGTTTTTTGTTCTTTTGTTTTGTTTGTTTTGTTTTGTTCTGTTTTTGCTTTTTGTTTTATAGAAATTTGGGTTAATCACGAATTTTGGTCTCATCTCTGCAGGGCTCCTTGGAAAATCACTTTCCAGGGAGAGGGGCTGTGCCTCTGCCAGGGTGTTTGGGATCCACGTGCCAGCCCGGTGGGATCTCATCCCTTTCATCCCAAAAAACACTTAGGGGGAATATCTCCCTGGTCCCCCGGTGCCTGTGGGATGAGAGAAGTTTATTCCCCACCGATGTTTTATTTAGGTGAGTTTTAAATAACTCCAGCGCTTTCCTGGGGGAACCATCCATCCCCCGGATTTCTGCACTAAGCACTTTTTCCTGGTGTTCAGCCGAATTTCTCTTTTTCTTTTTCTTTCTTTTTTTTTTTTTTTTCCCTCTGTTTTATCCCATTTCTCTTTTTATTTTTTTTTTCTTTCGGCTCAGAAATTTCTCAGGTAATTTAAATGTGAAGTGGATGTGGAATACATTGGGCTGCAGCTCATCACTTGATGAGGGGCTGATTGGGCTCGGAGAGACTCTGCCAGCAGGGAGGGAGGTGGCAGAGCCGGGAATTTTGGGAATGATGCCGGGTGTCAGCGGTCCAGTCCTTTTAGAATGGAGCAGGTAGGAGAAAATCACCCAGATTATACCCAAAAATGTTTTAATGAGGTTTTTAGGTGAAGAGAGAGGAGAGGGAAGCCAAGAGTCCAGAATCCATAGGATGTGGGGAGGGCACAGCAGGGATTGCAGGAAGGGGGCATGGATTGGGGACAAAGCAGCTCCTGGGCCCCAAAAAGGTGAAGGATTTGGGAATTCAACAATGTCCTTTCTCGTCCCTCACCATTTGCAGGTGAGGACCCTGGGGAGCACCAGGTCTGTGGGTGGCTCTTGGATCCCTCATGGAATGGGAGCCTGGAGCAGCACCCCAGGATGGAGCTGTGTGGGAGCTGAGTGCCCCAAAACTTGTGACATCCACATGGGAATGTCCATGGCAGCCCCAGGAAAAGGGAAGGGACATGGAAATCCCGGTAATTCCTTGTGGAAGTGCAGGGATCACCACCCTGCCCGGGATTTTGGGCATGGATGGGGTTTGTGGTGCCCTGGACCTGCTCAAAGCCCCTAGGATATGGATCCCTTTCTTCTCCCAGCTGGAGCCCAGCCCAGATCCCAGTGTCGTGGGTGCACCTGAGGCAGGGAACCGCTTCCCATTTAATTTATTGGGTTTTTTATCCCTGAACCATCCAAGGAATTGCCCTGGTTGGTCACCACCGATTCCTTCCCATGTCTGGGTGGGAAAACCAGGTGCTCTGCTTCCCTGGGCAGGTGTTTCCTGCTGGGACAGCACCAGGAGGGCTGGGAAGGAGCTTTCCCACTCTCCCACCCCTCCAAGGTGTCCCACTGCCCTGGCTGAGCCCTGCTCCCGTTCCACGGGGCCTCTCCCACCTTGAAGTGTTTGGTTTGGTGTCCCTGGCACATTCCAGGCAGGGCAGAGGCCACAATCCGGGTTTTTCCTGGCGTGCCAGGTGTGGCTATGCCAGGTGTGGAGCTCTCCATGCGGAGGTGACCTTTGGAATCTCCTGCCTGCCTCACCTGCTCCCTCCCCCATCCCGAGGATCCACGTCCCCCACGGGGTCTGATCCCAAAGTGTTCCCAAAGGGATCCTGTGCCCTCCTGGCCGGGAGGGGCGGGGTTGGGCATCCTCCTCCTCCTCCTCCTCCTCCTTTCCAAAGGATTCCCGCGCTCCCGAGCCCCACCTGAGCCGGAGCCGGAGAGCGGCATCGCCATGGCAACGGGGCTGATGGCAGCCGGGGATGGAGGGGCAGGAGAGCGGGAACGGGAACGGGAACGGGAATGGGGCAGGGAACGGGCAGGGAGAGCGGGAACGGGCAGGGAATGGGGCAGGGAATGGGCAGGGAGAGCGGGAACGGGAACGGGAACGGGCAGGGAACGGGGAAAGAGCAGGGAACGGGCAGGAGAGCGGGCGGGGAATGGGCAGGGAATGGGCAGGGAGAGCAGGAATGAGCAGGGAATGAGGAGGGAACAGGGAACGGGCAGGGAACAGGCAGGGAATGGGCAGGGAATGGGCAGGGAGAGACGGGAACAGGCAGGAAAAGAGGGAATGGGCAGGGAATGGGCATGGAACAGGAAGGAAGAGAGGGAATGGGCAGGGAATGAGCAGGGAACAGGGAACAGGCAGGGAACGGGCAAGAAGAGCCAGGAACAGGCAGGGAGAGAGGGAATGGGCAGGGAATGTGGAGGCAGAGCCAGAAATGGGCAGGAGGAGAAGGAATGGGCAGGGAGAGAGGGAATGGGGAGGGAATGGGCACGGAACGGGCAGAGAGGGTGGGAACGGGCACGGAACAGGCAGGGAGAGCAGGAATGGGCAGGGAACGGGCAGAGAGAGCAGGAATGGGCAGGGAGAGAAAGAATGGGCAAGGAAAGGGCAGAGAATGGGCAGGAAGAGTGGGAATGGGCAGGGAACGGGCAGGGAATGGGCAGGGAATGGGCAGGAGGAGAAGGAACAGGCAGGAAGAGAAGGAATGGGCAGGGAATGTGCAGGGAGAGCCAGAAATGGGCAGGGAACGGGCGGGGAGAGCAGGAACGGGCAGGGAACAGGGAACGGGCAGAGAACGGGGAACGAGCAGGGAACAGGGAGGGACAGAAGGAACGGGCAGGGAGTGGGCAGGGAGCAGACAGGGATCCAAGGCCCCTCTCCCAGGACAAAACCAGGTGCTCAAATATATATATATAAAAAAAAAATCACATTTTTGGATGTTTTTCTCCTCATTCCTCAGGTGTTCCTCATTCCCTCTCCTTTGGATCAGGATGGCTCCAAGAGCCCAAATCCCTGTGCCCCAAGAGCCCCACACCTCACGTGCCACCCCCAGCTTGGGGTTTTCATGGAAAAGATGTAAAAATCACACTTAAAACCTCCAATTTTAATAAATTTCAATAATATGGAGCCAATTTGACCCTGATTGTATAATTCTTTTATTATTTTCTCAATAGAAACGGAACTGACTCTGCCATTTTTTTGAATTTTTGAGCTTTAATTTGAATTATTTTAATAAAAACCAAAGGGACTTGGGGGGGTTTTGGTTTATTTTTGTACTCCAGAGTGACTTTTTTGTTTGTTTTTCAATTTTCTCAACACAAATGAAAGTGACGCCAAAATTTGTTGGTTTATTTTTGTAACAGAGAGGAACTGACTTGAGGGTTTTTTTAAAAATTTCCTTAATAAAAAGTGAACAGACTCAGGAGGGGGTTTTATTTTATTTTGTTTTTATTTTATTAATAGAAATTAAACCAACTCCAAAGGGGTTTATTATTGTTCTTGTAATAGAAAGTGAAGTGACTCCAAAGATTTTCTTAACAGGAAGGAAATTAATTCTGGATTTTGGCTCCTCCCTCCTCATGGCCCAAATAAAAAAAAAAATCAAAAATTATAAAAACTCCAAAAAGTCCAGAACACATTAAAAAATTGCCACAGAAATAAAAACCCACTTTAAATAAAATTTTATTTAAAAGTTTATTGTAACTTCAAAACCCCTCAAAAATAAAAGAAATTTTTAAAAAGCTAAAAATTTAAGAAAGAAAAGTCCAAACAATTCTGGAAATGAAAAAAAAAAGTAAAAAAAAAAGTTCAGAAGACTTAAAAAATCAAGAAACTTGGAAAAAATTTAAAATCTAAAAAAACCCTCTGAAAACCATCTCAAATCTCCCAAATTAAAAAAAAAAAACAAACTAAAAACTCCAAAGAAAAAAAATCAAGAAGGTTTGACAGGCTTTAAAACTGAAGAAGCCTTCAAAAAATAAAAAACCTTCAAAAATTAAAAATGGCAAAAACTTCAAAATACTTTAAAAAATCAGGAAACTGAAAAAGACATAAAAAAGTTTAAAGAATAAAAAATTGAGAAAAAAATTTAAAACCCTGTAAAAAAGTAAAAAACCTCCAAATCTTTAAAAAAGCTGGTAAAAGGCAAAATATTTTTAAATGCTTGAAAAAGTCCAAAAGTTTCAAAAAAACCTTTAAGCATAGTCAACAAAATCAGAAATGACTTTAAAAACCATCAAAAAAGTAAAAAGAATTTAGAAATTTTTAAAAAAAGAGAAAAAAGTTTTAAAAACTGAAAAATGCTCAAAAAATGTAAAATATTTTTAAAAAAACTTTAGGAAAAAGCCCCAAAATATTGACAGATCTTTTAAAAACCGTTTGAATAAAAGTAAAAATATTTTAAATCTTTCAGAGACCCTCCAAAACATCGAAGAAGTTGAAAATATTTTTGAAAAAAATGGGGAAAAATGAACAAAACCTTTGAAAAACCCTGGAAAAAATTAAAATAAAATAAAATTAGAAGAAGTAATTATTTTTTTTAAATTAAAAATTTAAATATCTTCCAATCCGCTGGAAAAGAAGCCCCAAAGCGTTGGAACGCCTTTACTCCGTCCCAACTCGGAATTTTTGGGAATTTTTCAATCCCGCCGCCGCTCCGGGCGCTGCCGGCGGCGTCCGCTGGGGGGCGCTGCAGGATCGCGGCTGAACAGGAGGGCGAGGCCAAGCGCGGCGCGCAGCGGGGGGGCTGCCTGGCTCGGCGGGGATGGGGCCGGGCCGGTGCTGCGCCCATACCGGCGCTCTGCCAGCTCGTCCCCAACGCTGTCGCCTCTTCACCTCCCCCCGGTAACCCGGTAGCAACGGCGGACAAGCGGGGGGGGGGGCGTTAAAAAAGCAAAAACCCTCCGCGCTCCCCTTAAGAACCCACAATGGGCGTGCCCTCCCGCAAGGCCCCCCCCGCTCCGCTCAGCCATTGGCCTCCCGTCCGGGCTGTCCGCGGCGCTGCCTGCGCGGAGGGGTAGAGCGGCTGCCGCGGCGGGCGGCGCCTCAGTCGGTGCGGGGCGGGCGGAGGCGGCGGGTGGGGAGCGGAGCGGGAGGAGGCGGCGGCGGAGCGTGATGGGCGCCTGACGCCCGGCCCGTCCCGCCGCCGAGGGACGATGGCGCGGCCCCGCGGCGGGCGGTGGCTGCTGGGTGTCCTGCTGGCCCTGTGCCGCCTCGCCGCGCCGCTCGCCAAGAGCCTGGAGCCGGTGTCGTGGAGCTCCGCGAACCCCAAGTACGTGCGGCGAGAGAAGGGGGGGGGTCGGGAGGGACGCGCCTCGCACCCCCCGCGGGGGAAAAGGCACCGAACCCGCGTTCTAAATGCGGATTTAATGGAAACAGCGAGGTTTTCAAGGTAAAATCGCGCCTGGAGGCTGCGGGCGGCGGACGGAGCGACCCCCGGCAGAGGACGGACCCGCGGCGCCGCGCTGCTTTTCGTACCGAAAAAAAAAAATCTCCTTCCCTTTTTTCCCCTCCGTTTTTAACTATGCTTTTACTTCTCGCAGCTTTTCCTCTCTTGAAATCCGTTTTTGTTTTTGAAAACCACGTTTTGTTTCTTGATTTTTAATTTTTTTTTTCGTTTTTCACGCCTCGTTTTTTTTTTCTTTTTTCTTCCCCGGATCGCTGCTTCCCTCCAGCGTTTGGATTTATTACCTTTTTTAAATTATTGTTATTGTTTTTTCTGGGTTTTCTCATCCGAAGTCAGCCGCGGAGGAAAGCGAGGGGATTCGTTCCGCCCCCACCTCGGGCTGGGTCCGAACAAAGCGGGCGGTGGGGCTTCTCCGCCTGTAGAGCCACCTAAATTCTATAAATTTAATAGATTTTTATATAAATCTCTGGATATGGACGCGGCTGCCGTGTAGGAGCAATGGGCGAGGAAGAGGAGGAGTGGGGGGTGTTTGGTCACCCCTACGTCGGGGCTGGTGGTCAGGATGGGTCGGTGGCCCTTGCTCAGCTTTATCTTGTAGATCATAGAATGTTTATTTATCTTACTCCTTTCTCTCTTAAAAAAAATTCCTGCTTTTAGCCTGCTATTTTTTTTTCCCCCCACCACACTTCTCAAGGTAAAAAAATGACCCAAAAATAATCCAAAGAGTTTTTGAGGGTTGGAAAGAACCGAAACAATTTGGACAACCTTCCTGCCTGGACACGTATTCCAACCAAATGTTTATTTCCTTGGTTTCTCGGTGGGGAAAAAGGAACTTTGCAGGCACACTTTGCATGTCCCCAGCTCTGGACGTGCCGGGACGGCGGCTCCGTGGCTTCATTCTCCTCGGTGTGTTTTTCCTTTCCTTTCTTTGGGAGTTGTGTCACTTGGCTGAGAGCAGAGAGAGCCTTTTCCCTCAGGAATTGCCCCGCTGGATTCGTGAGCTTGGTGAGGGGCAGGCAAATTGCTTCCAGAAAATAGAGTTTTTATTTGGGAAAAGGCAGCTGGAGGTGGAGGCGGCTCCGGGTTGGTGCTGGAGGGTGCCATGTCACCCCTCTTCCCTTCCTTTTCCCTGGATTTCCTTAAGCTCCTGAGCACTGGGAAGCTAAGAGGAGGCCGTGGTCATTGGCTGGCACATGGGTGACACTCCAGGACTTCCCACTGAGCCCTGGAATGGTGGCCTTGGAGATGGGGTGCCCAGGGAGAGCTTGAGGGGCTCCTTGGTTTTCCCGAACTGGGAGCTTGGTGGTTTTCTGTTCCCGGTTTTTGGGGCTCAACGGTTTCTGCCTTTGGTTCACGCCTAGTTCTGGGCTCAGAGGTTGTCTGGGTTTGGTTTTCCCCCAGTTTGGCTCTCAGTGGTTGCCCACTCTCAGTTCCCCCTGAATTCAGGGATTGGGGTTGTCCACCCTTGGTTTCCCCAGTTCAGAGATCCGAGTTTGTCTGCTTCCAGTTTTCTCCCAGTTTGGAGCTCGTTGTTGCCCACTCCCTGTTCTCCCCAAATTCAGATCTTGGTGTTTGTCTGCCCTTGGTTCTACTCCAGTTTGGAGCTCGGTGCTTTTCCACCCCCAGTTCTCCCCCAGTTTGGAGCTCGGTGCTTTTCCTCCCCCCAGTTTGGTGCTTGGTGCTTTGCCACCCTCAGTTCCACCCCGCTTTGGAGCTCGGTGCTTGCCCGCTCTCCATTCTCCGGGAATTCGGAGTTTGGGGGTTGTCTGCTCTCGGTTGCCTGTGGATTTGGAGCTCAGAGATTGTCTGCCCTGGACCCAGCTTTCTGGGAATGTGCCATCCGGTGTGAGGCTGCTCCTGTGGGTGCTTCCCCATCTCTGTATCCCCACAGGGACAGGAGAGAGTGAGAAGCGCCCGAACGTCGGCGTTTCCACCCAGAAATGGCTCTGCCGGTACATGCACAGGCAAAACCCATGGAAGTGTTTTGCCTCACTGGGGACTTTCGGGGCCTGGCCGTGATCCCACGCAGATCCCTCCAGTCTGTGCCCCTGTGGAGCAGCCCTGGATCCTCGTGTCCGGGATCCTTCTTTGGGATCCGTCGCTTTCTTTCCCGGCTCCGATCTTTGCCGGCTGCGTGGCATCGGGCAGAGCCTCCTCACGGCCGCTCCCAGCAAACCCAGCTGAGGAAACCAGTCTGGGGTTTGTGCTGGGCAAAGTCCGGCTCCAGCTGGAGGAAAACTCTGGCTCTTGGTTGGATTGGGATTATCTTCCAGGTAGATCCATAAAAACCCCTCGCCACTGTACTTGGGCTTCCAAGCCCCTTCCTGGGGCAGCGCCGGGGCTGTGCCAGCCCTCATCCCATTCTGCTGAGCTTTAACTCTTGTTTTTAGAGTAAAGAGAGCTAAAGCCTTTAAAAATAACACAGCTAAGTGGAATTTTCCAACGAATCCGAGGAGCAAGCGTGGGGCTCTGGGCCCGGCCAGCCTCAGCGCGATTGCTGTAAATAAGGAAAATATTTTCCTGCCCTTTCTGGGCAGCTGGGAGCTGTGGGCTCGCTCTCCACCAGCGAGTCTGGGGCTCCTGGTGTTATCAGAGGGATGCTGATAACACATCTGATAGATGGAATGATTTCCTAATTGAGTTAAGTCAGGCTTAAGCTGTGTGCTGGGTTGGGAAGCCCAGGTCGGCTCCTGGGTGTGTGTCCCAAAGCCAGCGGTGAAATCATCACCCACTTCCCACTGTGAGGATGCTGGGGCTTGAAAGAGAAAAAAATAGGCCCAGGAATGGTTTTGTTGGAAAAAGTGATAATTGTCTCAAACCTGTGCTTGGGATGAGCTCACCCTCTGAGTGAGCTTTCCCTGGGATGCCTGTAGAGTTCTTTGGAAGGGGGCTTGGAGAGGCAATATGGCTTTAATTTATTCCATCGTGTCCAAGGGGGGCTTTGGGGAAAGTGCTTCTGGGATTTACTCGTCCCCTTTGCTGCACAGCCGGGGGGCGGTGGGAGCGTGCTCTCCTTGGACAGCCGGGAATTGCCAGAGGAATTCTGGCTAAATCCTTTCTCAACTCCCTCGGCTGTAATTTGGGAGAAATATTGACCCTGGTGGGCTCCTGTACCGGCCGTTAAAGGGAAACATTCCTAATAAAATATGGTTTGGAAAATTCATTTCAGGCTGGAATTTGCCTCCCCAGAAAGTATTTTAATAAGGAGGTGGGGGAAATGGGACACATCATCCACGCCGCTCCGGAGAACGCCTCCTTTCGCCTCTGCTTTTCCCTCTTCCCCTTCCAGAAAGTTTTGCTCAGTTCCAAACTTGTTAAAAACCAAATAAATGCATTTATTTAAGAAAAAAAAAGGTGAGGGAAAGAGGGAAAAAAAACCCCAGACAAAAGTCTAATCCTTCGTGGTACTTTTATTCTGCCTTTAATGACATGATGGTGTCCCATGGAATTCTGTCAGCACTGGGGTTGAAGCCTGGCAGATCTTTGCCTCTTTTAATGCCTTTTTACGAGGGACAAAGTGCTTGTGGGAAGGCTGTTTCCGAGGGGAAAGGCTGGCCTGGAGCTCTGGAGCAGGGGACTTGCACTTGTCGGAGCAGATGGGATGGAATTACGGGAGCCGTGGGCGCGGGAGGCGCTTCGCGATGTCAGGATTTAGGCAATAGGGAAAACTTGCTGCTTATTTTTAATTAAAAGTAATTTCTGACTTGTAGACACTCCCCCTTCCTGAGGCTGAGAGGTGGAGAACGGGTTTAAACTAAAGAGATGGGAAGTTTAGGTTGGATATTGGGAAGAAATGCTTGGCTGTGAGGGTGGGGAGGCTCTGGCATAGGCTGCCCAGAGAAGCTGTGGCTGCCCCATCCCTGGAAGTGTCTGAGGCCAGGTTGGACAGGGCGTGGAGCAACCTGGGCTAGTGGAAGGTGTCACTGCCCATGGCACAGAGTGGGGCTGAATGGGCTTTAAGATCCCCTCCCAACCTAAACCATTCTAGGATTTATGATTCTGTGTTGCCATCCAGAATCCCATATCCTGTATGTGCACCCTGGCCGTTACAGGGCTTTGCTTCATCTCCGAAGGCTGGCATGGGCAGAGCAAGCCTGGACAGCCTGCTTTCCAGTTGGAGTTTCCCTTTGGAAGGGGGGGGACCTTTGCTGGGTGCCAGGCCTTTGGGAGCCCTCCCAGCTCCTGCTCCCCACAAGGCAGAACCCTCCGTGCCCAGCCCACGTTTCACCGGAGGCGTTCTGTTCTCCCTCTGCCTGTGCCAGGGGGAAAGGAGCACCCACGGCTCCTTGCGGGTCGGTTGGGAATGACTTCATTAACTTAAATTAAAAAAAAAGGGAAGGCAGGGCTGCGGCTCTTGCAGTAGCAGGGTAAATACCGCTGGATTCCATAAAATGGATTTAACTGCTTCCTTTAAAAGAAAAAAAGAGCCGTGATGGGGTGGCTGATTGATTGTAAAAGGAGCCGGAGCTTTCTCCGGAGCAAAACAGCTGCTGCAGCTCCTTGGATCTGCCTGGCAGTGGGGCTGGATGGGGCTTCCGTGCCAGTTCTGACTGGGAAGGGCTGGCAGGGGGCTGGCAGAGGCTGCTTTCCTCCACTGCACCTGAGCTCCTGTATTGCTTTGGGGTCTAAGCTGTTCCCTTGAATCCTCATCCCAAACAGGCTGGATGTGGCAGGGTGGGATGTGCCTGTGCCCTCAGTGGTGTGGCCAGGTGGGCTGGGGGTCCCTCTGAGCAGCTTCATGAGGTGTTAAGGGGCTCCCCCAAACAGTTTCACTGGGGGCCCAGGGGTCCCCCCAAGCCCTGTCCATGTTTTTAGAGATCGTGGGGATCACAAAGAGCCGGAGTGCACGAGTAGTCGCTTGCATG